CTGGTTGTCACTCTCATGACAAAAAGTCCTTTTTTTCCCACTATCTTTAATCATTTATTCCTCTTGTGATTAATATCTGTGCAATTGATTATCTTCCGAATTTCTGTCTGTTAATTTACAATCCAGCTTAATCGTGTTATTATGTTCGGAAATAAATTGCCGTTTCGTTTCAAAGCACTTTTTAATCCCTTCTTTCATCATGAGCAATTGTTTTGTTTTGGAAGTAGCAGTTGAATTATACTATTTTTTTTTTTAAAATTCTTCAATGAATGTAGAAAAAGCGATTTGCGGTTTGATCCTCTGGCCCCCATAGGAAAAAAACTGAGCTCGGCGATTAGAGGTCTGGAATAATCTTGAGCTCTGATTCATCTTCCCAATTTTGGGTTCTGATGAGCAGGTGAAGTGTGTTTCAGAGAGAAAAAAAAAAGGATACTTTAATTATTAAGAAGTTGGAAAGGGTCATAGTGTCTGCTTTTTTGGTTCAACCTCTTACTATTTTAGCTTTTTGCATAACACTAATATTAAAAAACGAAACGGATAGGATAAGGGCGTACTTGGTTGATTTATTTTTTATTTTTGTTAATGAAGGAGTCGATTATCTGAAGATTATGTGGAGGATTGGGATGTTCTTCAACAGGATTTGAAAGGGAAGTTTTATTAGGATTTTGTGAAGGATCCAATACTGGGAAATAGGGAGTGTGACTCTTCTGTGCATACCGAACATAATCAGGGCTCTACGGATGGGGTCCTGCATGTCCAGTGAAAGCAGGAGCCCACTCCCTGGTTCTCTAAGAGGATTCTGTAAGACAAAGGGATCCAAAAGGAGCCCAGCATCTCGGAATTCTTCCTTTGATCATAGGAGGGAGAAACAGCTGCATAGAACTCCCGGACGCCTGTTCTTAAATGGGTCGAGCGAGATAGCTTCAATTTTTACCCAGAAAGGCAACAAAGGAATAAATCAAGATGCCATGATTGTTTGGGAGGTTGGTTGTCTCCTGCTCCCTTTTATCTTCATAATTATTTAATTAGTTGCTTTCTATATTTCATTTTTGTGCTTCATAAATATTAAACTTGTGCTTTCTCTGTTGTTGGTTTCTGCAGTTAGGGTGCTAAATTATTAGTACTAATAGATGTATTTTTTGATAATAAGAACCTTACTGCACATTTATTTGTTCTTTACAGGTGTATATTCACAAGGAAAGTCATACGCCTTCTTTAATTAAGAGCGTGCTCAATAAATTCATTTCCTTGTTTTTCAAGGTTATTTTCATCCTTCTGTGGCTTCTTCAAAAGAATCTTATTCACACTATGATTTTGCATCTTATTGGCTTTTGTAACCTTGGTTCTATGATTAGTTAATAGAAGTTTTTATGCACATTCACGTAACTTACAATCCCGTTAAATGATTATTCTTACTCATCGAAGAGGGCATATGATCTCTGATAAATGAACAAACTATCTTGCTATATCGACCATTTTATTGCTATTATCAATCTCAAGTGGCTTGCAAGACATTGGCATTTGCTAATTCATTATGACATTAAATGTCCAGAATTTTGGTTCAAGGACAGACGCGGTCTTCTGTGGTGTTTTCGATGGCCATGGTCATATGGTTGCGAAGTGAGTGAGAGACTCCCTTCCTTTGAAACTAAGAGCAAACTGGGAAGCTAATATAAAGAATGGCAATGTTCTTAAAGAGGTCAGTTTGAATACTACGAGTAGCATGAAAACAGAAGATACGTCCTTTTCTGCTGATGAGGAAGCTAGAACATTCATTGATCTCGAATAATCAAGAAAGCACCAAGAGATGTTTCAGACATTGAAGGAGTCTTTTCTAAAGGCTTTTAAGGTTATGGACTGGGAACTAAGGATGTTTGCAAATATTGATTGCTTCTGCAGTGGGATGACAGCAGTGACTCCAGTGAAACAGGTGAGTGAATGAATTGAAAAGTGACGCTATAGGTAATGTTGGGGACTCCAGAGCTGTATTGGGTACAAGAGATCAAAATAATTCACTTGTTGCTGTCCAGTTGACTGTGGATCTCAAACCTAATCTTCCAGGTACAGATGTCTCTCTCTATCCCTATCTCGATCACACAATGCTCTGCTAAATGCTAAATTATCATTGCATGACTAAATATCGTCAGGTGATCTAAAATTTTGACGAGGAATTCTGACTAATGATATGAGTTCCCAGTTTAGTTTTATATTTTTCTTTTAATATCATCCTTATTGGCCTTACAGCGGAAGCAGAGAGGATTCACAAATGTAAAGGACGTATTTTTGCCCTTCAGGGTGAACCTGAGGTTGCCACACAGCTACTCTCCTGGCCTCCCTATGGCACGTGCATTCAGAGATTTCTGCCTCAAGGAGTTTGGTATTATCTCTGTTCCTAAAATTTCCAGCAGATGCATCATTGATAAGGATGAGTTTGTAGTCTTAGCAACGGATGGGGTATGGAACCTGAGATTGATCATCATCTCCTGCTTTCGATATCTCAACGTTTTCTCTAAGTTGGATGTAATTTCTACATGCATTTCAAATTTGGGACGTTCTCTCTAATAAAGAGGTGGTGGACATTGTGGGCTCTTGCCCATCACGTTCATTTGCAGCTCGACACTTGGGAAACTCGGCTGTTTGGGCTTGGAGGTCGAAGTATCGAACTTCTAAAGTTGATGACTGTGCAGTGGTCTGTCTCTTCCTTGATTCAAACTTCAATAATCTATCAACTGCTTCTGGCCGAACTGAAATTAACCGCTCTGGCACTGTTATAACTGGCAAAGTGGTCCTTGGAGAGGACTCACAGGAGTTCAAGGAAGCTTCGGAAGAAAATAAGGATGAAGTCTCAGCCTCAGACCCTGGAGAGATTTGGATGGCGGGTGGAAAAGAATGGTCCGGTCTTGAAGATGTCTCCCTCGTAAACACATTATTATCCTTTCCAAGGTTCATGCCCAACATAGAAGAGAAAAAGGTCAGGAAATAAAAGGCCATCAACAAAACTTTTACTTGTTGAAATAACGATTTAGGTGAAGCAGGTTAGGAACTTCTTTGCCTAGTCTCTTACAGTTATTAATTTCCTTTATCTGATTAGTCTTTTCTTTTACATAGGGCCCATTTGATTGGTTTAAATTTCATGGAAAATGTCACATTCGAGGAATTCAATTTTTACACTAGCTGTTTGATATGAAAGTGGAAATGGAGTTCGAATTCCAAGGTACAACCACTTTAAACTTGTTTTTTGCCAATTCCATGGAAAATGCATTCCTATGAGGTACAGGTTTTTATTTTTCACCTTACATGGAACTGGAAAGTCTTTCCACCTTTGCCAATCAAATGGATCCTAAAACAAAAGGATGGAAAATTTAGTAGTATTTATTCTGGACGAAAATGTATATTCTGAGTGTCTGGAGATTATCCTTTCCTCTCTAATATGCATAGAACTGGATTTTGTATAATCCCAACTCTCCATCTTTTCTTAATTGCAAATTTTAGGTCTCCCTGAAATTTTGTGATTTGTATATAGCTCATATGTTGATGATTTTTATGGAAATGCAGCCTTCTTTTGTTAAAATTGTAAATTAACTGATGTTTTCCTACTGTCTTGCTCTAAAATATGTATAGTGAAGCTTCATTTGGGGCAACTTACAAATTTATTGATACTTTACTGTAAGATTCACTTAAAATTTTGAGGAGCTTCTCCAATTATTAGCCCTCTAGATTTGGACAATATATGTAAGTAGTGAGATAAAAGAAAATGAGTCGAAAAACCTAAAGAAAAAGAAATAAAGTATTAATCTTTCGTTACCGGCCAGAGTTTGATAAATTAAGGGGTGAAAACAGTACTACATGGTTTCAAGACAACCTACTTTAAAGAAGACTAATTTTAGTGGAGTGCAATCTAGCAAGAACATCAGCAATATTGATTCGTTCTGTTGCAGATTCTGCAGAACAAATTATTCCGATTTTGAATACTGAAATCAGACACTTCCGAAAATTTTGTGTTCCCCTTAAATGCTGTATTTCAGTACTCTCTGTGCTTGTGGGATTCTCTTGAAATTCTTGAAGAAGTGGTGGATCAACAATTTCATCAAGTCTGTCAGACAATGCATTCTTGACATATCTGTGAAGATCAAGACCTTCTTTAAACATGTCATCTGTAGGCCTCTTTCCTGTAAACATTTCTAGCAGGAGAACGCCGAAGCTGTACACATCTCCAAATTTTGAAACCTCACTTCCCATTCCGTACTCTGCAGTTCAAATATACCCGTACCAAATATCATCAAATACTTAATACTATCAGGTGAAAGAAATATTTAATGAGCTAACAATTTATTGTGGCAGTGAATAAGGAAAAGAGAGGAGAAAATATGTAATAAAAAAATTGCTAAAATTCTGAGAAAGTAAAAAGAAACAAAGACTAATATTGGTTTCTGTAGTGTTATATGTCACGGGTATTATATCAAAGTCGTAGTGGGTGTGAGAAAAGTGAATAGAGAAATTTCAGTGCTCCAAGTAACAGAAATTTTTTTGTGACCAATGCAAGTATAATGCAACTCGTTAGGGAAATAAATTTGATGAGCAAAAGCAAGGCACAGAGTTCATATAGCTCAACCTGTAGAAAAGAAAAGGGAAATCCAATTTAAGATGGGATTTAGAATGCGCTTACCTGGGGCAGCATATCCGATAGAGCCCTTTATCAATTCTGAACTTGTTTCGGTTGTTGAAAAGTTTTGGGTTGCCTTTGACAGGAATCTTGATAAACCGAAGTCTCCCACATGGCCAACAAATTCATTGTCTAGAAGGATATTACCTGGCTTTAGATCACAGTGAACTACTGGCGGCATGCAATGGTTATGAAGATAATCCAAGGCGTTGGCTACATCAATCGCAATATTCATTCTTTGAAGAAGATTTAACCTTCTGAGTTCAGGTTCGCTCGGGTGCAGCCTCTCCTCCAGACTGCCATTAGCCATGAACTCGTAAACTAATGCCTTAAAATCATTACCTTTATAGTCTACACCTGAACACACACTTAGTACTTTAACTAGGTTCCGATGTCTAGTGCTCCTCCAAGTATTGCACTCTGCAATGAATTGCTGATAATATAACTCTTGTTGCAGTAAAGGTGCTTAACCTTTCAAACCATAGAGCTTCCTCTGTACACGATTCCAAAACTTCCGGCACCAATGAAATTATCTTCAGAGAACCCATTGGTACTTCGGAAAAGACTTTGGTAAGACACTTTTAAAGGTATAATTTCTAGCGAGTGTGAAGGAGGAGGCTCCCTTTTCGACAACAGAATTGGAGGAAAAGTAGTCCTTTCGTCCAAATCTTGGTGTGAATTTGCAAATTTTAATATCGAATAAAAGAGAGATGAATGTTTTAAAATAGAGTAAATTTAATGAACAATCACTCAACTTTCAAGTTGTTACCACTTACTCACTGAACTTTAACGCGTTAAACCGAACGCTCACACAACTTTCCTTGTGGTTACCCATCCATCACTCACTCCACTTCCGTCTCTTAGAATTGACAGAAAAGTACACATGACAGACGATTTTCTTACGTGGCAAACACCCCACGTTAAATTGCCAACGTGTAATTAAACCCACGATTTAACCTTCCAAAATCACGACATTTCTCTGTCTTCCCCATTTTCACATTTCTTTGCTCACTGGAAGAGAAAATCAACACCAGACCACTACATTTCTTGAAATTCTCCTTGAAATCAACGTCCTAGGCTTGGGAATTCTTCTCTTGTGTGGATAATGGAGGCCATAGGTGACCTACAAGGCCCTCACATGGAAGATGCATTGTTGGAAGATGAGGAAGAAAGACCACAAGAAGGTATTTTTTTTAACTATTTTGTTGGAACATGATTTGTTTCCTTATGGGCATAAAGTTTAAAAAATGGATGTTTATCTAATTGATTCTAAAATGGAGGAGGTAGTCATTGGCCGAAGTGTAATTATTTTTCACGTTTGAATTGAACCCATCTTGGAATGGCCGAAGTGCAGCCAAAAGAACCTACAATGGTGAACTAATTTTCCAGATGAATTAACATTATAAATGATAGGTAAATCCCTTTTTTTTTTAATTAAGTTTTGATTACTTGTATGAATCCTTTTTTTCTATGTTTGTGATGTTTATGAAACATCATCACTGTCCTGCAAATATTTTTTACCCATTATTAGAGGATTGCATCTTGCTTTCTTTGTCTCCAGCATACACACACCATAGCAGTTCCTTCAGTTTTTTAAATTCTACCTCTGGAATCTGTAAAATGACAAAATCTTACAAATGAATGCTGCCTTGTGTTTTGGAGATTACAGCCTGGTTAGACCAGTAGGTAACTCGTACTGGCTGGTTGGTTCTATTCTACTGGTTGTGAATTCCTTCAGAGAATATTTGTTGTAATTACCTTTTATTTTATATCCAAACATTAACCCTATTCTTTTTGCATTCTAGTGATGAACAATGAGAGTGAAGATTTGGTGCCACTTGAGTGCGAGTTAAATGACTCGGAAGATGATGTGGACGGTGGTGGTTTTCATTATCAGAGAAACGCACAGGAAAGAGTTTTGGTTGGCCAATTTGAAACAGCTGAGGAAGATGACGGCTCAAAATTGGATGATCCAATTCTTCTTCCAAATAGCTGTAGTTTAGAGTCTGATCTTAGAAGTTTTTGCAGTGAAACTATCTATAGAAATGCTTCGTTTGTGATATTTGTGTTGTTTTTCCCAGTGAACTATCTGTACAAACATCGTCTGTGAAGTTTTTGGGAAGTTTTTGACAGTGAACTAATGTTGTAGCAGCAGATTTTAGTTTGTATTTTTGATTAAGTAATCATGTCTGTCTGCTCATTGATATGGTTGGTACTAGTGAAACAAATTTTGACTCATCTTGTTCTCTGCGATGTTTGTGTTGTTTTTTTGTACTTCTAATATAACATGATAGCATATTCTCAGAGTTCCATCTGATGCACCTGATTCTCGATAAGCTTCTAGTGCATAAGCACCTGCTGATGCACCTCATTCTTGGTGTTGATGCACAGGCATTTTGGTGCTGGTGCATCAACACCTGATTCCTAGATGATGCACCTTGGCTGATGCATTAAATTGAAACTTCTCAATCTGGCACATCAATTCATTCATTCCAGTGGAAATGTAAGACAATGTATCAATTTTCATTCATCATTCATTCATCAATCCAATTGACAGAAAATCTCAATCAAACCAATTTTCATCACATTCATTTTGCTTCACCCCCACCAGCAAAACTACCAACACAAGGAAATGTAAGACAATGTATTCAAAATGGAACCGACAATACAATTTATTCTTTTAAGGATTTCAAACTACAAATTAATCAGACTATTAAACTAGAACAGCTATTTTTTCTAATTTCTCCTTCTCAGCAGAACAACCTCTCAGTTCTTTTTTTATAATTTCTCCTTTTCAACTTCGATTTCAACATTTAACGGGCTGTTTCAGGTATCTTCATACGCCAATAGAAAGTGAGTGCCGTGGGTGAACCAGTGCAATGACTCCCAGTCCAAGTGAAATCCCCGACTATGTGATTCAAGCAGAGAAGGTTCAATGGTAACAAGTGTAGTTCTCACTTTCTACTACAGCAAAAGTATGAAAATCTTGAATACTCTTGGGCAGCTTTTACAGTTCCACAGAGATTATCTGAACTAAACCCCAAGTTTTCTTAATTTACTAATCTTCGTTTATGCTACCTAGTGATCTCAGAAAACTAAATGGACAATCTTGATCGAGCCAGAAGAATCTTGGGCATTTAGATGTCTGATAACTACACTTGTTACCATGTACCTTGGAAAAAAAAAAAAAAAAGAAGACGACGATGACTTTGAAACAACACAACTGGAGCGGTGTTGTGACTCCCTATCTTTCTGAGAACACCTTGGTCGCACGTCGAGAGTGCCGCACACTCCGCCTCCGTCCCACCTGCCAGCAAATGTTACGCTGCTTCTCGATTTTAACCTGCCAACTACAACAGCAGAGATGTCTTGAGAATGGGGGAGGGGACGGCTTGGTTTTGGGAATTAAGGGGTTTCCATTTGGGAATTAAGGGTTTCAGACTTTCAGGTCACGAGAATGGGGGAGAAGCGTGATATATATATTTTGGGATGAGTCGTGGGTTTAATTCCACGATGGCAATTTCACGTGGGATGTTTGCCACGTAAGAAAATCGTCTGCCACGTGTAATTTTCTGTCAATTCTAAAAGACGGGAGTGGAGTAAGTGGTGGATGGGTAACCATAAGTAAAGTTGAGTGAGTGTTTGGTAACACGTTAAAGTTCAATGAGTAAGTGGTAACAACTTCAAAGTTGAGTGAATGTTCATTAAATTTACTATTTATGGAAATGAAGCCTTCTATTGTTAAAATTGTAAATTAACTGATGTTTTCCTACTGTCTTGCTCTAAAATTGTATAGTGAAGCTTCATTTGGGGCATTTACAAATGTATTGATACTTTTATGTAAGATCCACTTAAAATTTTGAGGAGATTCTCCAATTATTAGCCCTCTAGATTTGGACAATATATGATTTAAGTAGTGAGATAAAAGAAGCTGAGTCGAAAAACCTAAGAAAAAGAAATAAAATATTAAATCTTTCATTACTGGCCAGAATTTGATAAATTAAGGGATGAAAACAGTACTACATGGTTTCAAGACAACCTACTTTAAAGAAGACTATTTTTAGTGGAGTGCAATCTAGCAAGAACATCAGCAATATTGATTCGTTCTGTTGCAGATTCAGCAGAACAAATTATTCCGATTCTGAATACTGAAATCAGACACTTCCGAAAATTTTGTGTTCCCCTTAAATGATGTATTTCCGTACTCTCTGTGCTTGTGGGATTCTCTCGAAATTCTTGAAGAAGTGGTGGATCAACAATTTCATCAAGTCTGTCGGACAATGCATTCTTGACATATCTGCAAAGATCAAGACCTTCTTTAAACATGTCATCTGTAGGCCTCTTTCCTGTAAACATTTCTAGCAGGAGAATGCCGAAGCTGTACACATCTCCAAATGTTGAAACCTCACTTCCCATTCCGTACTCTGCAGTTCAAATATACCCGTACCAAATATCATCAAATACTTATACTATCAGGTGAAAGAAATATTTAATGAGCTAACAATTTATTGTGGCAGAGAATAAGGAAAAGAGAGGAGAAAATATGTAATAAAAAAATTGTGCTAAAATTATGAGAAAGTTAAAAGAAATATAGACTAATATTGGTTGCTGTAGTGTTATATGTCACGGGTATTATATCAAAGTCGTAGTGGGTGTGAGAAAAGTGAATAGAGAAATTTCAGTGCTCCAAGTTACAGAAATTTTTTGTGACCAATGCAAGTATAATGCAACTCGTTAGGGAAATAAATTTGATGAGCAAAAGCAAGGCACAGAGTTCATATGGCTCAACTTGTAGAAAAGAAAAGGGAAATCCAATTGAAGATGGGATTTAGAATGTACTTACCTGGGGCAGCATATCCGATGGAGCCCTTTATCAATTCTGAACTTGTTTCGGTTGTTGAAAAGTTTTGGGTTGCCTTTGACAGGAATCTTGATAAACCAAAGTCTCCCACATGGCCAACAAATTCATTGTCTAGAAGGATATTACCTGGCTTTAGATCACAGTGAACTACTGGTGACATGCAATGGTTATGAAGATAATCCAAGGAATTGGCTACATCAATCGCAATATTCATTCTTTGAAGAAGATTTAACCTTCTGAGTTCAGGTTCGCTCGGGTGCAGCCACTCCTCCAGACTGCCATTAGCCATGAACTCGTAAACTAATGCCTTAAAATCATTACCTTTATAGTCTACACCTGAACACACACTTAGTACTTTAACTAGGTTCCGATGTCTAATGCTCCTCCAAGTATTGCACTCTGCAATGAAACTGTTGGAAGCTCTATGGTTTGAAAGGTTAAGCACCTTTACATTATCAGCAAGAATTCCTCTGTACACGATTCCAAAACTTCCGGCACCAATGAAATTATCTTCAGAGAACCCATTGGTACTTCGGAAAAGACTTTGGTAAGACACTTTTAAAGGTATAATTTCTAGCGACTGTGAAGGAGGAGGCTCCCTTTTCGCCTTNTGTGAAGGAGGAGGCTCCCTTTTCGCCTTCTTTAACCAGCAACGAAATATAGAAACAGACACGATACATAGTCCCAAAAACCCGGATATTATACCGATCATAAGTTTGATTATTGAGGGACTAGTCGTCCTGGACCTTCTCGACTTGCATCTAGGAAGGTGTAGCTCAGGTATACCTCCACATAGCTTGGGGTTTCCAAATACTGCAATTGCACTTGCATTCTTAAAGATTCCTGCCTCTGATAATGTGCCACTGAAATCATTATGTGATAGATTCAGATACTGTAACTTGAAGCCACCAAAATAATCAGGAATTTCACCTGATAGATTGTTGTTTGAAAGATCTAAAAATTGAATGCCACGCAATGAATTTAACTCAGGAATTGTCCCTCGAAAAAAGTTCCCTTCCATGTTTAGCACCTCCAACCTTTCACAGTTATCAATGGTGTTTGGAATCTCGCCGGATAACATATTGTTGGATACATCCATCTGGCCTATATTCCTCATATTTCCGACTTGAACTGGAAGGGGACCGACCAAGTGGTTCCAAGAAATGTTTAGAGCTAGTGACAAAGACGCAACAAAAATTTGATGGGGTATCATTCCACTAAGGTTGTTCTTAGAAAGATCGAGTTGTAGCAAATTTTGGCAATTTTCCAAACTTGAAGGGATGCTGCCATTAAATTTGTTTTCCCTCAGCGAAAGACGAATCAAGGTACTTAAATTGCCTATGGAGGATGGGATTTCCCCCGTGAGCCAATTTATAGACAAATCTAGTTCTTTCAGATTTTGGAGTTTCCCAATGATAGGGGGGATGTTACCAATGAGTTTGTTGTTCCATAACTGGATATCTTGCAGATTAAAGAGGTTCCCTATTTCATCTGGGATTCGACCAGATATCTGATTGTTGTCTAAGTACAGTAAGACAAGTTTACTTGAGAGATTGCCTAAGGATTCAGGCAAGACACCTCCAAAGCTATTGCTGTTAATTGCCAGTGATTCTAATTCTGTGGCATTTGTCAATGATGAAATGAAACTCAAGTCATCAACTTCTCCACTTCCAAGTTGGTTGCCAGTGGCACTCAACCAACTAAGCCTGTGGGATTTAGGAAGGTTCGGGAATTTTCCTGAAAGATTGTTGAAGTCGACCATAAGGTATTCAAGATTTGACATATTGGACAGTGAAGAAGGAAGGGATCCAGTGAACTGGTTATCAGCAATGCTAAAGAAAGTGAGATTGACAAGAGAGATTCCCATGTCTGAAGGAAGACTTCCTTGAAGTCTATTCCCAGAGATGTCAAAGCCTTTTATAGCAGAGAGATTGAAGATCGTGGAAGGGACAGTACCATAAATTTCATTATCAGACAAAGCGAGAGTTTCCAGTTTCCTTGGCTGCCCGAATGAATCTGGGATCATCCCATCTAGACTATTGATGGCTACAAAAAATTCGACAAGAGACGATAAGTTGCCAAAAGAAACAGGGATTTCACCTGTTAAATTGTTATCGTCAACATAAAGTACTTCGAGTTGTGACAGTGAGTCGAGTTGGCCTGGAATTTCACCGTGTAAATTGTTATAGGAAATATCTAATTGGACAAGATTTGAACAGGCAGAGATATTGACAGGAATCACGCCTCCAAGGGAGTTGTTATTGAGCCACAAGTACTCAAGCCTTCTCAAATGACCAAGTTCTTGAGGAACGCCATTTATGAAGCTATTGTTATCTAAATATAGTTCCTTGAGAAAGCTTAAATTCCCAACGGAAGGCGATATCGACCCTGTTAGGCTTTGAGACTCTAAGTCCAACCTAGTTACCCTTTGGTGGCGACGACTGCATGTCACCCCCCGCCATCTGCAGAAGTGGCCCGTAGAGTCATTCCATGAGCTTAAGACACCGAAGGGATCGTCACTTATACTGGACTTGAATGAAAGCAATGCTAACCGGTCTGTCTCATTGTCATAACGCCGAGCTATGCCGACGCCCAGAATGGAGAAAGTCAGTACAGCGATATAGATCGAACGGTGGAGGATACTCAAAATCATGTTGCTTAATCTTGTTCACTGGGAAAATTGATGATGGTATTGGTTTGAAACAAATTCCAAGGTTTAAATAGTTAATAATTTTCTTTTCAACAGAATGAAAAATGTAAACGCATTCCAAGTTTCTTGATATTATTTATATTCGGGTGTTTTAAGTCTTTTTGTAATTATTATTCATTGTCCTCTTGTGCATACTAATTAGACGACGGAAATTTCGAGCCAATTAATGAATGAACGAACGTACAAGATTTTCTGGTAATGCTCCAAATTTTGACATAGACCATCTCCACTATAGTCAATTTCAAAAGCTAGTTTGATCAAGTAATTATTATAAAATGTTAAAAGTCGAACCTCAGCCTTGACGCGTAGTCAATCACGGCATAAATAAATATATACATTCATACGTACAATACGCGACCCTTTATCGTAACATCTGGTTTTTGTTTTTCAGTTTTTTGTCATGCTCCTATATTCCTCTTTAATGTTTTAAAACTGGTGATCTTAACATCAATCCAGTCCGAGTAACTCTACTAAATCAGTATGCGATTGACCTAATAAAAAACCAAAAAACCATCCAAATCCTACTTCAAAGCTTAGACCAAGCCCAGGGAATCAGTTTCGGCCACCATCCCTTTGTTTGCAAAGTTCTCGAGTTAATATCAATCCTTCCTGCAATGCCATAGCCTCAACCGCTGAGTTACAGTTGAACCAATGACCCAGTGACCAATCTCTTCATCCGAGTTACTGCCCAATTCGAGCCTGAAAAACTATCCTAAAGCCATTTTTCCTTTTCTCACTCAGCAATGCACGATCCTCAAGACATCAAATCAGGTATTTAATCAAATGATGTAGAAAAACAAAGCAGATAAAAGGCCAAAAAGAAAATGAAAGGAAGAGTCGGTGTTTTATTCTAGCAAAGCATACATAAGTTTTATTTTTTTGGCCATAGCATCAAGAAGCAATTAAAATCTTAATCATTTTCACGAGAACAGAACAATATTAAAAGAGTCAACATTCATTCAACAGAAAAGCCCGTCTAGTCACCACCACCTCATTCCTCTTCTTCTGCTTCCTCCAGCCATTTTACAAAGGGCTCCAACGCCTTCACAAAGCTTTGCCTGTGTAGCAATGCATAACAATAATAATCAGGTCAAGGCATGTCAAAAAAAAAAAAATTTTGAAAGATGGAGAGAGAAGAAAATGAAAAACCACACAAAATTATAAAGTTACATACCTGCCCTTTGGGTTTGTTCCCTTACGAAACCAGTGAAGAATGGTATCTTCTGCAAGAACATCTTGATCATAAAGTGACCTTATAATTTCTGGAAATAACTTCATCAACTTTGTGTCGTCGTAGCACTGGACCTGAACCTTGTAAAGGAGTTCCAGCTCTAGCTTTCCAGTGGTGCAGAAAGTATTAAGTAATTTTGCCCATGTTTTCACCTGATATAGAAAAGGGTATAAAAACAATTAGAAACTATTTTAAGCAATCTTTGTTTAAATAATGGGTGCTTCTATAAATGATGAACATAAAAACAATCATTGCTAATCAAACCATTAAACATTTTACTTGCATGAGCGAAGTCGATGGTCTTGAGCTATATTTATCTTTTATCTTCGCATGTTCTTGACCAAAGAACAACATGCCAACATAGTTCAGGAATTGTCTGAGACATTTCTAGTTTTCCAGGATGCTACAACCTACAGGTTTTACTATTTAATCTATTATGATTATTATCTGACGAGTCCATTCAACAATGACAGTGAAGAAATACTAAATACTTCTAAAAATCAAATTACTATGGGAGCTCCACGGCAGCTAAAGATATAAAAGTCTATGGTGAGACACTAAACCTAAAATAATGTGCTGTGGAACTTTTCTACCTCCGATTCCTAGTTAATTCTCTATTTTTATTTCTTAATATGCCCACTGAAATCCATCCCATGATTCACTAACATGAGAGTACATCAAACAAAACATCGATATCATTTTGTATTAAAAACATGTTATCTCATTTCAAATAACAAATAGCTTGATGTTGTTATTTTTCACAGCCAAGAGTACACAGCTATAGAACATCATGTTTAGATACTGCAAAAAATTGTGCCACTTTCATGCCTGACGCTTCCCAACGATGTTAAACTAAACATTCTCTCGATAAAAAGGAACACATATAGAGGCCATGTCATGATCAAGTATGTGCCTCATCAAGATTAATTATTGATTTGGTATGATATTAGATGACTTGTATATCTCCGTGTGTCAAAACCTCAAAAAGCAAGAACCGGATAAATATAATGCCATGCCTACTTCCTAATCAAGTAGGCATCCCTCAGATATATAATATGACACCTACATATTTTAGTACAATATCACAAAATGATAGAATATTCCATTAACAGTACATGCAGGGGAAAAAAGTAATGATCAAGAGCTACGATGAGCAGAATGCATAAAAATGACGGCCCAGATAAACACAAGTTTTGGCCCTAGTATAAAAATGAATGAGTTCAAAGTCATACCTGATGAAGAGCTGCATTAGCATTCTGCTGCTGATTCTTTCCAGACCACTGCACAGCATCCATCATCACGTCCCAAAGAATCCTGACAACCTCAATATCTGGCAATTTTGCATCTTTGACATGTTGCTTCACAGTTTCTATGACTTCAGATATATCAGCTTCCTCAGCCATCTGGCTTGTTAGCACAGATTTCATTTCCTTCAGCTTCATTTCAAATATCTTCTTCTCATTATATTCGACTATGGGTAAAAGTCCTGCCTTACTGAGACACAAATCAAAGATAACAAGGTTTTAACATAAACAGGAATTTCAACTGGTTATGATGCGAAAGTTAATTAGAAAATACAGATGGGCTAAGAGGGATCAGAATAAGGTGAACGAATTAAACCACTCTCACAGTTTTGGAGAATTCAAGCTTCTTCTTACAATGTCAAGATGAGACTGACTGGCAATTTCCAGCAATATGTTGAAGCAGAGACCATTCAGTGTAAAGCAATATAATAAAGAATAGATTTATTTCCAAGATAACAGGCTTCTAAACTGAACTTCTATAATGTACAACTCCAGAATCTACATATTGTCAGAAGTTAGATCTGAAATGATATGTACCTAGACTAAATGCACACAAAAGAGTTTTACATTTCTATATGATCTTTGAAACTAAAAGATTCTGGCTTCAAATCAAATGAATTATATAAGCATTTCACTATGTTCTCGACTTCTCGTAACGTCGAATGAGCTCACAACAAGTTGGAGTAATCTGTCAAACAAACAGCATATATTTATTCCTGCACCCGCATTGATTTCAATGTGCAACTCTTTTATTTTATTTTGCTAAGAAAAAGAAGATTGTTAACAGGAAATAAAAATTGTAAAACCAACTGAACAAGTATAACTGTATAACGCACTAGGACTGGGCCACTATACTGTATTCCCAGTACATGTCTCGCACTCCATAAGAAAATGACAGCATTTCAGTTGTTTTGTTCAAAAAATGTACTAGTATTAACTGAATTAATACTCATATCACCCTCATTGTTGTAATCACACTTTCTATTAGCATGTCTGATATAAGAGCCCACTTTCTGAGTCGAGCATTTATCCCAAATGTTTCCACTAAACCCTTGCTCATCAGAAGCAAAAGAGATGCCAATGCACATTACAATAGGCCAGTTAAGCAGAAAAAAACATTTCATGCATCTTCTTCTACCTGTAGTGAAGATCACTTCATTACCAAATAAATATCACATTACGAACTCTCAAGCATTGCCTTTGAAAGTTGGAACTGAATATTCCAACCTCCTCATCATTTGTTTATCCTCAACCATCCACATGTATGCATTACAATGCATAAAAAGATGGTATAACCTGGCAGAGTAGCTGCGAAATTATCGAGAGTCAAACCCTTCATTGACAAAGCAAAGAGAGCCTTCTTTCAGAAGCAGACTGGCATTTCCCTAGGAGACCAATGCCAAAGGATCCCTAGTTTTTTTTTTGGACTCAAAAAGTTTTTAAAAGCTTCAATCATTACAAAATTTTGTACTTCAGGTCCCATGTAATACAAGAAAATATTGAATAACTGATCTCGTACTTCAGGTCCCAAGTAATACAAGAATATATTGAATAACTGATCTATCATACAGCATTCTTAAATACAACATATATCAAAAGCATTCATTTAGTTGATGCAGAATGACAAGTTCGATTCAACTGCATATACTACGTAAATCAGAATAGAACGCTTACGTAAAATGCTCAGAGACGGCTTCAGGTGTCCGCTTTGTGGGCGGGAAGAAGTCCAAAAGATTTTCTTCCACTTTACCCCGCTTCAGGATCAGAATCAAATCATCTAGGCTGTTGTCAATCACATATTCCCTGAAGAAATCTGTCATGAATGAAAGAACTAGCCCTTTTGCAACAAGGTTATCTTTGAGTAGTGGCTGGAAAACAGTTTCCGGAGGGAGACCAGACAACTTCTGGGAAAAAGCAAGAGCGGTGAAAATTGCCAGCTTCTTGCTTTCATTTTCCTCGAAAAGCTCCAATGACTGCAAGAATCTTTGCATAACATTTTCAAGATTCTTTATAAGGAAAGGCTTTCTCCGCAAGATCTTTTGAATATATAACACAGATGGCAAAATGACTTCACGTTTTGGCTCACAATCAATTATAGAGTAAGGATGGCGCTCCCCTTCATCAGGTTTAGTTGTGCCTGGTTGTGTACGGCCCCCTGTAAAGACAACCTGTAATAATGCAAAGATTAAGTACTGACATGGACACAACACAAAACACATTGACCTGTGATTTTACAATTAAAAAATGTAGGACACATCAGGAACAAGTCTATTTAAATTATTTAAATAGTACATTTATATATTAATATTATATCTCTGTTCTTAATACTTATTATTTTTTTGTTAAAATCAATACATTTTTACTTTTGCTTTTTATTGGTGAAATCTTTTAAAATAACTTACGAGTCA